GTCCTATGCATCAGACTATTTTAAGGAGGCATGTTTTAACATAACATGTGTTTTCAAATTGCACTTCAAAGAAAATCTCCTATTGCATATATGACAAACATAAGGTTGTTCCCCAGTATGTTTGCGTACATGTCTTCGTACAGTATTTAAATACAGAGAAAAATAGTTGCAGGTAGTGCATTGATAAAATGAGGTGCCTTCAATCATAACTTTTGTCACTAATGGTGGTGTTTCCATTCTGGTTGATGCTTCTAAAAAAAAGTAGATTACATTAATATATATACATACATAAATCACAACTTACAGGTTTGAAAAATCACAGAAAACTTGAAGTATTAGACATTCAAAAAATGTTTACATGGAAAAAAAAAGGTGACATTACAAATGCCACATTTTCCTCTTTATAAATTATTTTCAAAGTAGAAATGTTAAAATACTTTAAAAAAAAATGCAATGTAGTTTAAACCTACACAAATTTTTATAGAAAATGGGAAATATTTGAAAATGAAAAGCTTTTTAGTTATAAATCAGGGTGCCTAGACAAATTTTTCAACAAAAAATTAGCACCTTTTAAGCACTTTTCAAGCACTCAAAAAATATTTTTAAGCACTTTGAAAAATATCATAATTGGACAGGGTTGCCAAGTTTTGGACAATTTATGGTTTTATTTACAGTGACGAAGACGATGGCGCGTCACAGACGATGAAATTAACAAGAGAAATGAAATTTTCTATCACTAATAGAGAAAAAGAATTGACAATGTTTAGTTGATCCCCGTAATCAGCAAAAATTCGTGAGATTTTTCGATTCCATTACGCAGGGCGGAAAATGAAGTCTGAAATTGAGAATCTCTTGCAAAATGCAGCAGGGTTGCACATGAGAGTAAAAAATCCTTACCACTGAATCCAGCTCAGTATACGCAAGTATTTCATCAAACATGCAAAACAAATGGTGCTTTCATACACTACAGACCGGCGATACGTGGAAATAGATTGGATTGTTAATTGTGAAAACGTTGAATAGGACAATGTCTTTTTACATAATAAGTGGCGAAAAGTTTTACATAATACGTGGTAAAGAATAATATCACATTTCGGAAAAGGGAAAATGAAGCACTTTTTAAAAACATCCATAGAAAAAAGCACCTTTAAGGGCTTCTAAAAGACGAAAATAAGCACCTTTAAAAACGCTACGCACCATGTATAAGTATATTAACAAAGAGTCTAATAATAAATGTCATAAGATATCTTAACATAACAGTTTAATTAAATTTTTTTCCTTTTAATTTAGACAAAGTAAATAGTGAGTGAGTTCTCTTTCAAGCGTCCAATCTATTACTCAGCTGGTTATTTATTGATTATTGGTTTTTCCTCTTATAGGATCATAGACCAGAACAATATAGACCTATAACAATATCATAGACCCTTTAACAATAATATAGTTGACCTAATTGCAATTAAAGGCATCTTAATAAAATTAGTTTACATTCTCCAAGTGTCACCTTCTGGCGTCTATCATTATAATACAGCCAGGGACCACGGAACTTGGGGGGGGGGAAGCAGAGGAGGATTTAGCCCCCTCACATTTAATAGATTATGAGACACAGCCCCTTTTAAGATTACAATTTTTCCCTCAATATTTGTCGATAGAAATTTACAATTAAAAAGAAATAGATATAATTTTATTGTGTTTAAATTAAAAAAATAAAACCCCTTACTCTTCCCTCCTCCTGTTCATACCTGCCAACGTTGAAGAAATAAAATAACAGATATTTTACCAGCAAAATTTTTTAGGCTACGCGTAAAGTTTTGATACAGCATGCATAATCATGTCAGTCAAAAAGAGAAATTCTAAATTGGAAATAATATAAGCAGTTACTTAAAGCAAAGTAAAAAATGAATCTTAATCTAAAGAAGATTTTTTAAAACCATTATTTATTACTTAAATTACAAACACTCAATATACTGTAGTACTGGCAATAACACTATCTGTTGAGGAATAAGAGAAGTATTTTTGCCATCAGCGGATATTTTATCGCCAAATTTTTTCTACTTCAATTTTTTCAGCAAATACGGAGGAATTTGAGAATATACGGGTAAACAGGAGATAGTCGTAAAATACAGGAGTCTTCGTTAAAAAACAGGAGACTTGGCAAGTATGCTTCCCTCCCCCTGTAGAGGAAACATACGTCCCTATTGCTGACTGATGGGAATATTCTTGGTTTTAAGTGTCACATTGAAACAGAATAGAAAGAAGAAAAAAAATACTGTTAAATGAGAGAGAAATAATTTATAGGTAAAATTTAAAAACAATTCAAATTATGAAGTTAAAATTGCAAATTCGAATTCTTCATTGCCATTTTGTAAGGTTCAAACAACTTGGACCAGGTTAATACTAATATATATCATAACTGGGGGGAGAGAGCCCCCCCCACTCATGTGATGCTTCCGCAGTTACTGTAATCAAACTATTTGGATGTTAAAAATCTTATTCATATTTTTAGGTAGGAAGTTCAAATTAAATTTTATTTTATCCTTTTAAAGAAAGCAAGTTCCTTTTGCAGAGCCATTGGAATAGGAGAAAAAGTGTATTCATAACACTGACTTACAAAGCACTTATTAGGTGATAGCTTAAGATGGTTTAAAAGTACAGTCGAACCTCATTAACGTAAAATTGGTGGGACTATCATAATTATTTATGTTAACCAGATTTCATCTTATTTGATACATGATGTAAACAATTTATTACATACTATTAATCCATATTATGTACAACGTTTACGTTCCTAAACAATACTATTATAAACCAAACAAATTAAAATAAGCTTAACATTTTTAATAATTTTAGTTAACTATTTTATTTATTTGCCCATTTGCTACTTCTAACAAATGAAAAAAATAGAAAAAGCATTCCTCAAAATGAATAATTGGCACTTTATTCACTTGCTTCTTATCTGTGTTGTGTCCAGTTTTCTTTCACGTTAAGTGATAATAAACTTGGAAATTTCACGTTAAACATGTAAAATACAATAATAATTGATTGCTGACTCGCGGGACCAAACCTGTGTTTCACGCCAAGCAATTTACCGTTAACGAGGAACGACCATATCAAGAATTAGACAGAAAGACGGTCGTCTGATTTCTCAATGCGAGGAATACTTAAACTTTCAAAATTTACAGACAAGTTTGAGAAATAAGTGATTGGATGCTTGGAAGGTGAAATTTCTGCATTCATGAAAATACAAGACCACTGAGGTAGACACACAAAAATGCCTTACAGAGTTGCTGAGAACAGCTTAGACCTCGCCATGAGAGACTTTTAGCTCTTCAAGCACATGAAATCCTTGGTGGCAAGTAGCTATGGATCTGCATACCTGCCAACATTGGAGAAGTAAAATAATGGAGATTTTACTAATCGACCCAATTTTGGGATAACGACTACTGGAATTCAACTTCGTAGCCTTGTAATTTTGAACACAATCCAGATAACACGGGAACTCCTGGATCAAGTACTGGGTGAAATTTGCCTTTGTGGAGGACTTTTTTATGGAACTAACCCGCATTTGAGTTACATGGTGAGGAAAAAAACGAAACCTCCCATGGTTAGCCTGACAACAAGGGGACTCTAACCCGTGATATGTCTAATGCTGAGGATATTTTATGTCAGCACTGTGGTCGGTGCACGCTGGATGTAGAATTCGCATCGACCAGTCATCGCTGGGATTCGAACCTGGGTTCACCTCATTAAGGTGAACGTGCCATCCCCTGAGCCTTCACGGCTCAACTTAAACAATTCTGATAACACTTAACATACTGCAGTACTGGCAATAGCACCATCTGTAGAGGAATATTTTCACCATTAATGAATATTTTACTATCAATTTTTTTAAAATTTCTTCAACAAATATGGAGAAATTTGAGAATATACAGGTAAACAGGAGATAATCGTAAAATACAGGAGTCTTAGTTAAAAAACAGGAGACTTTGCAGGTATGGATCTGTTGCCTAATGGTTTAATATTGTACATTCATTCAACCAAACCTGAAACAATAAATGCCCAAATACTAGTTGTAAGGTTATCTCCAATTGTTTGTTTTCTTTTTTGTGTTGCTACACTCAACTTACTTTTTCGATTACTGTCATATTTGTAATTTTATTTCAAATCACATTTTGTTTACTTTTTAGCAATAGTTTTATTACTTTCCAGTAATCTTGCAAAATAAAATTTATTAATTTCCAAAAGGAATAACACACAAGCAGATTTGAAGAAAAAACACAAAATAGATTAGAATGACAGGAGAATAAAATATAGATTAATAACATAATCAAATAAAATATTAACTAAATAAAAATATTAATAATATTTAATTCATTATATCTATTAAATATCATTTTGAAACACAATTTAATGTAAATTTTCTCATTATACTTCAAATGATTTTAAACAGGTATTTAATATATTATTTTCGCAATTCAAACACATATCATGGTTAGCAAGTAGTGTTTCTAAAAATGCAGATAATACACATTAATTAAAATTTAATTACTTTTTTATTCTTATAATAGTTTATTAATTCATGAGTATTCCTATAACTTATTAAAATGCAAACATTTCAACTTTATACTATAAATGAATTTATTAGAAATATTTCTTGCATAGCCTCTTAACAAAATATACAATTAGCGAATATTTTACATAGAATATTCAAACCTTCATTTTTTAAAACCAATGGCTGAAATTTAAACATAAAATTATTCTTAACTACAAAATATGTAACAATTTTCAGACTATTATCAAGAATAATTAAAATTTAGTTAAGTCTTAAAACTAACAGTCAAGATTTTTAATTACAAATGAAAATGTACGAAAACTAATCGTCAGTAAAAAAGTTCCTTTCATTCCATTTTTACAGTTTGTTTAATTACTATTTTTAAATAAAAACATTCTTTAACTAGATTTTTACGATCCAAAAGCCACACATTCTCAACACAATGATGCTGAAGAAAAAAAGAATTTTGCTAATGACTGTATTAAAATTCAATCAAGAATTTATATATATAAATTGAATGATATTGTTAATATACAAAATCTACTATGATAGTGTTCTCAATTTATCGCTGGCAATTCTTATACAGAGAAAGTTTTTAATGTACTCTTTATACATATGTTCCTATCTTAGTCTTTAAATTTTTATAATACAGTCGAACTTCATTAACCTGAAACTGCTTAACATGAAATGAATGATTGGTCCCGTGAAACAGCAATCAATTATTGTTGTACTTTACATGCTTAACATGAAATTTTCAAGCTGATTATTGCTTAACATGAAAAGAGAAGGGACAGATAATAAGCACGTGAATAAAATCCCACTCATTCATTTTGAATAATGCTATTTCTATTTCTTCCTTTGTTAGAAGTAGCAGATGGGCAAATAAATAAAATAATAAAATAGTTAAAACTTTTAAGCTTATTTTGATTTGTTTGGTTCATGATAGTATTGTATGTATACATTAATACAGTTCATAACATGTATTAATAATACTTAAGTTGTTTTCATGATGTATCGGATAGAATAAAATTCGGTTAACATGAAATAATTATGATAGTCCCGCCAATTCCACGTTAGCGAGGTTTGACTGTATTAATGGTTCAGTTTTTTCCAGCATCACACATCCGAATAATGACTATATAACATAACAATCATTACAAGTAAACCAGTTACCTTGTCTAAAATTATTTACTGTTTAAAATTATTGGGGTTTAAATCCCTATCTAAGGGAGAAAACACAAAGGCATCTTATTTGCTTTAATTAAGCTAATCACAATAAAAAGAAAGATCCACAGGTATTGCAGAGTCTTATATATACACGTTCATTTTTTGAAGCAATATAAAAAAACAATATATATATAAGGTGGCACTCAGAGAAAACCCTGCATTTTGAAATCTTGGACAATTTACCAAATCTTATACATTCTAACATGAATTATACCAAAGAAACATGTGTTATCATATGGTCTTTCAGAGTACTCCTTCTGGAAAATCCCTTTTTACACAAGGGGCAAACATATGGACGTTCACCAGTATGTATTCTAATGTGTCTTCTCATATCATTTAAATGTGATGTAGAATAGTTGCACAAATTGCATCGACGTAAGACTCTGCCTTTCCCCATTGCAACTTCTGTACAGTGATGTAATGATTCAGTATTTCCTGAAATAACAGTAAGAATTATAAAACTTGTAATTTCTTTAAAAGACAAATCAATGGAAAAGAATTATTTGTATTTAAATAGGAAATGTAGTGTATCTACCACTACAAAAATATAATTCCAATTCACTAGTATATAAGACATGTTAACTTGAGTCTATGTTGAGGTACCTTATCATAGATGAAGGTTGACTTTGTCTATAACAACTCTACCCACATTAGCAGGGGTCTGTCCAGACATTTTGTGAAAGGTCCTGTTTTTGTAAAATTGTGAAAAAAACTATTAATAATTTGTGAATAAAAAATAAGCGTTAAGTCACATTCTTTCAACCAGGGTAGTGTTTTTGTGAATTTGTGCAGATAGGGTCCTGCTATTTCAAAAACTGCTAAAAACCTTTTCAAGTTTTTAAATTGAAAATAGATACAAGATTCTGCTCAACAATTGCTGCTACTAAATTAGAGATGCAACACACAAATATTTGGTATTTAGCCTATACTGCTAAACCCAGAATATTCAATTCGGACGAATAATGGAAACAAAATCACTCACATTTTTAATAATTTCAATTGACATATTTTAAATAACACAACTTAGTAATGTATCACTTTTAATGCGTTACACATTAAGTTAACTTAAACAATTCTTAAATTTTTAATATTTTATTTAAAAAATTGCCAGAAATTAATTTTTATTTACATAATATTCTATTATTTAATTTTATGAATAAATATGAATTGATCAATTATTAATTCACAAAAAAAATTATGATTTAATATTAATAAGAAAGCACACACAATGTTTGTAAAAGTAGAAATATTTTCTTAGAATACATTTGGAATTTAAACTTAGGGAAACTTAGTTTGTCTCGAACCGTCTTTATCTCCCCCCCCCNCCCCCCCCCCCCGGGTTTATTTGATTAACAAAACAATAATGAGGATAAATAAATCTGTGAAGGGTCGGATTAAAAGATAAATATTTTGTGAAGGGTCCGCTAACGGACCCAAATTTTTTCTAAATAGACCCCTGATTAGTGACCTTTGGAAGTTATGTGAACACGCCTACCTTGGCAGAAACGCCCACTACGATGTGAACATGCCTACTTCGATGGTCCACATTGAGCAGTTGACTAGCTACTTGTGATTGTGACATTATCCTCCTCATGCTGTTGCTTCTCAGTCTCAATCACACACAACATATACACTCCACAGCTGAAGGCAACACAGGAGCGACCATGACCGTGAACTCAATACAGGTCTCACGATCAGCACTCAAAGAGTACGGTGAACTTAATACAGCTCTCACGATCAGCACTCAGAGTACGGTGATTTTAATACAGCTCTCACGATCAGCACTCAGAGTACGGTGATCTTAATACAGCTCTCCCGGCTTCTCACAAAACAGCAATGAATCAATTAGTGGTATCTGTTCATCGAAGTCAATCACAGATATAATTCTGGTGGAGAGAACTGTAGTGTATCTACCACTACAAAACTAGTATATAAGACATGTTAACTCGATTCTATGATAAGCTACCTTATCATAGATGAAGGTTGACATTGTCGATAACAACTCTCCTCACAGGAAACAATAGGTAAGACTCTGCCCTTATTGCAACTTCTGTACTGCGACGTAATGATTTAATATTTCCTGAAATAACAGTAAGAATTATAAAACTTGAAATTTTTCTAAAAAGACAAATTATTGGAAAAGATTTATTTGTGCTTAATCAGCTTTCACTAAATAAGAAACAATATCGATAATTTGAAGATTTAGAATTTTTCTGGCTCATTTTGAAAAATAAGTTGGAAAAAAGGGTAAAATTAAAAATGAGTTTATCATTAATTTGAAGTCAAATTTCACTTCACTCAAAAACTTCTCTGTAATTTTACTTTAATCATTAGTAAACATTTTAAAAACTTGTACTTGCTATTCATAATATTAGTATTATTAATACATTGTTTCTTTGGAAATTCACTTGGGAATCCTGAAAATTTTAATTCATTACTTTGGAATTTTTACTGCTTCGGAATTTGCTAAAACAGGATTTGACTGTATTTCTAAGTTTGCCTTCTGAGCTTTCCCAGCAAATTAAGAATTTAAGCAAAAAAAGCTGTTTTTAAGTACTTAATAAGGACAAAATTTTTATTTAAGCAAAATAATTTGTATTCTCAAGTCACTATTAAATAATGAAAACAAATAACTCATCATAAATATATAAAAAAGAGTAAAATTATTAGTAAAAGGTATAAAAAATAGAGAGGTTTAATACTGCTGTAAAAAAGTCACAATAAGTTTTGAGGAAAAATTTAAATTTTAAAGCTTTAAAAATTAACATTTAGTTATTTAAATATCTTTCCGATTCAACTGTTAGAATTCATTTACATATTTTAACTGTTAGGTGTGTGCATTTATGGCACAGTAAGCTTCTTTTATCAGCAAATTCTTCCCTGCATTTTTGGTATAGATATGGGCACTTTACACACTACTACTTACAGATTACACACTTTCTAATTTCCAACAAAATTTTCATACAGAAAGGCAATGAGCTAGCAACTTTTGAAATAGTTGTAAAAATTAGTAATAATTTATAATTCCATATTGCGCACAAATAATAAAAGCTTCTATTAAGATAAAAAGTAAGTAAATTAAATACACCTTTCCATAGTAAATTGTAATTTCCAATAAAAATTCTTATACAGAAAGGCAATGAGCTAGCAACTTTTGAAACAGCTATAAAAATCAGCAATAATTTATAATTCCATATTACATACTAATAATAAAAGCCACTGTTAAGATAAAAAGTAAATAATATAAATTAAATACATCTCCTTTCTTTGACTTGGATTGTTTATTTCTGGTAAATGATAGTTAAAGATGTAGACAGATTAAGCCCTCAAGTAAACATTTTAAGCCCTCAAGTGAGCATGAATTGATAAGTCAAATAAATTGATAATAGTGGCTCTAGTCAGAACTCGGAGGGGAGGTTGAAATAAAGAAAAGCTTAGGGCCAAATATTTTTATTAATATCAAATAGCACACAGACAAACATAAATTTAAATAATTATGAGACGGGAATAAAAGGAGAATCCAGGTGGTGCTTTGGTTGCTCTATAATTATGATTTATTATGTAAATTACTCAGGGGCAAAAGTGCTCAAATCCCAGCGATGGCTCGTATTGAAAACAAAGAACTCTTTTCTTAATTATATTAGCCGTTATAAAATGCTCGAGAGATTTTTCGGTTCGATATCAGAGAATGGAAAATGAAGCCTGAAATAGAGAATATCTTGCAAAATGCAGCAGAGTTGCACATGAGAGTGCAATAATCTCCCTGAACCCAACTGAGTAGACGCACATGCAGACTCCTAAGTATTTCATCAAACTTGTAAAACGATTGACGCTTTCAAACCCAATGGACCGACAGTATTCCAAAATAGATTGTAGTTGAATGAATTGTGAAAATGTTGAATAGAACAATGTGAAAAGCTCACCTTTGCATAATATGTGACGAAAATCGCCATGGTAAAAAAAAAATCTCATTTCGGAAAAGGGAAAATTAAGCACTTTTTAAAAACATCCCATGAATAAAGCACCTTTAAGGGCTTTTAAAAAACGAAAATCAAAAATAAACACTTTTAAGAACTTTTTAAAAACGCTACGCACCATGTGCTTGATCTAAGAGTTTGGTTGAAAATTACAAGGGCAAGGAAAATATCGATATCTGCAAACTCAAATATATATCGGCCATTCAATGTTACTTATAGAAAATATAAATCCTCAAAGTTGGTAGCCCATTTATTTACCCAAATACTGCCTTCAATAAATTATAAGAATATAAGATAAAATTAAAGACTAGTCGTGTGCTGAAGTTATTAAGGATATCCGTTCTGTTAATATTCTTTAGGATACTTATCACCCTGGTAAAAGAAACCATCCAGCATGGTAGGGACTCTGCAGATAATTTTTCATTTAAGTTTTTGTTTCCTTTTTAAAACATCTCAAAACTTGTTTCGAATAAAAATTAAAAAACTGAATTGAGAAAACACAGTAAAGAACAAAAAGTTAAGAATTTTTTTCTTCTGTTACTTGATAATGTTATGGGCTTAATTGTATATGGATTTGATTTTTTTTAGCATCAATGAATAAAATTCAACTTAATTTTGTTACAACAATAAGTTTCCACGTATAAGGACATATCTGCACATTTTCCTAGATGTAACAGTTGGGCTGAAAAGTTCGTAGGTTGACACATAGATGGGGCTACTGTTATTAAATACATATGATTTTTAGTTAGTTCTAACCTTTGAAAGAAAAGTGTATAAATTTGACAGCTGTCGGACTATTAGTTTGTGAGATATAGTATTTTTAGAGAAGCAACTTTTGTTAGTTTAAAAACAATGGATAAAAAGGAATTTCGTGTGTTTTTAAAGCATTGTTTTTTAGCAAAAAAAAATACTCTTGAAGCCAAGGCATGGCTTGGAAAACATTATTCGGACTCTGTACCAGGAAAATCAACCATTGAGAAGTGGTTTGTTAAGTTTAAAAGAGGCGAAATGAGCACCGACGACGATGCACACAGTAGTCGCCCAAAAGAGGCTGTTACCGACGAAAACATAAAAAAAGTCCACAAAATAATTTTAGATTACCATAAAGTGAAGTTGATCAAAATATCTGAGATTCTAAAGATATCAAAGGAACGTGTTGAACATATCGAGACGATGAATATTTGTTATAATGAATATTTGGGTATGCGAAAGCTCTAGGCAAAGTGGGTGACCCATGAGCTCCCAATTGGACAAAAACAACAACGGATTGATGATTCTGAGCTGTGTATGAAGCTGTTTAATCGTAATAAACCCGAATTTATACGTCAATATGGGACAATGAGTGAAACATGACTCCATAATTTCACACCGGAGTCCAACCGACCGTCAGCCGAGTGAACTGCACGAGACGAACCAGCTCCAAAGCGTGGAAAGGCGCAACAGTCAGCTGGCAAAGTTATGGCGTCAGTATTTTGCGATGCTCATGGTATAATATTCATTGACTATCTTGAAAAGGGAAAAACCATCAACAGCGACTATTACATAGCGTTATTGGAGCGTTTGAACTACGAAATCGCAGAAGAACGACCCCATTTGAAGAAGAAAGTGCTGTTTCATAAAGACAATGCACCGTGTCACAGGTCAATGAAAACGATGGCAAAATTATATGAATTGGTCTTCAAATTGCTTCCGTCTCCACCATATTCTCCAGATATGGTCCCCAGTGACTTTTTCCCGTTCTAAGACCTCAAGAGAATGCTTGCTAAAAAGAAATTTGGCGTCGATGAAGAAGTAATCACCGAAACAAAGGCCTATTTTGAGGCTGAAGACAAATCGTACTATAAAAATGGTATCGAAAAATTATATGACCGCTACAATCGTTGTATCGCCCTTGAAGAAAACTATATTGATCAACAAAATGGAATTTCATCAAAATTTTTTTTTTTCTATGTTAGCCTACGAACTTTTCAGCCTAACTGTTATATTAGATTTAGCTAAATTTGGACAATAATAAGTTACATTGAGGTCTCAGTCAAATTGGGGTTTAGGAAGATAGTGATTGCTGTAGATTCCATACATTACATCACAGAAACGTAAGTAAGAGACATTAACTTTGATTCTTACAATTTTCTTTTTTTTTTACAAAATGAGCTTTTTTTTTTCCTTCCAGAATTCCAATTTGTCACCATATTTGTTAGAAAAGTTTAGGAAAATTTAAAACATATGTACTAAACATTGAACACAATTTTATACACAAAAAACTCCCTTTTTTTTCCTTTTAGAAAAAAGCACTTACGATTGTGATTATAACTGTGCCTCTTATAGTTTCAGGACTGTTTTTCTTAATATAAAAGCCATATAAAACTTTAAAAAAACAATTTCTAGAATTTGATTGAATAAGAAAGAATTTTAAATAAGAAAAGTAATTTTTAGAAAAATGATACAATAAAAACTGAACTACAAAATTATTTACTAATTTTTCTTTAACACAAAACTAATGACACATCTTAAATCAAAAGTTTTTCGGAAACATAGTAGATTGTAATATTTTATATGGAAAAAAGAATACATTGTCAACATATTTTGAAATATTAGACAACAATTGTTTTGGAATTACAGGAGCAGAAAAGAATACATTGTCAACGCATTTTGAAATATTAGACAACATTCTGTTTTGGAACTACAGGAACAGAAGTTAAAAACAGTACATTTAAAGAGAGCAACAAAAATATATATATATATATTTTTTTACAACACATTTTTGATTTTGGGCAATGTAGCTGCTTATTTTATAAGTGCAGAACAACATAAGACCCTTAATTTTAATATTCTATTAAAACTCAGAACTCATATAAAATCTCAACAAATAAACTCCTGAAATAATTACGAAAATACTTTTTAAATAATAAATTTCAATTACTGAACAAAGGTCCCTTTTCTTGCCAATGTTGAAAAAAAAAAAGAAAAAAAAACACAAAATATTTTTTCTTCAAAAGATGTAGATTTTGTATTTTGATCAATTTTAAGTACCGAGTAACTTTTCCGGTGAAACTGAGTAACTTTTCCGGTGAAGATGCAAAAAGTTTTGAATGTTGTTATTTTTCAACTTACATATTCATTACCAAAAGACGTAAAAAAAAAAAAAAAAATAGTTTTATTGAAGTTACTTAAAATTTTCAATGTTACAATTATTATATATATTCTTTAAAGTGTTACAACAATATTATTTAAAATAACTTCAAAGTAATTATATTTCTGTTTGTGAAGGAACATAAATAATTCAATAAATTTATTTCATACAATTTATTACTCAGTAGTAAACAACAAAAAATATAATTAAGTCAACTTAAAAGTTTAAAATTTTTCCAAAGGAGTCTTAGATTCAAGCACAAGATAATGTTTATAATAAAACATACAAAATTGGAACAAAACAAAAACATACAAAATTAGAACTAAATAAAATTAATAAATAAATAATATTTCAAAAGATAACAAATTTCATAACTAAATTAGTTTAAAAAATAATGGTACTAAATCATTCCTTATTACTATAAAAAATTCTATAAAAGCTAGAAATAAACAAAAAACAGAGTTACGTTGAAAAAAAGTTTTATTTTTAGAGAGGAAATACATATAAATAGATTTCAATCACAATGAGGCACAGCGTTTAATCAAAAATAATAATAGGGAGAAGAAAAAAAAAGCTGAAGTTAGTTACCATACTAGATTTATAAATATAGCTGTCAGATATATAAGCATAAATTCATTGACGAACTAATCGCACACTAGGTTGTTAACAGCAATAACTTACAAAATACTTAGATCAATTTTCCATTCAAAGATATTAAAGAATGTATTGATGTTATAAATTCCTTATGATGACGCGGTAATTTTTATTCTTTTCGTAAGGAATGTAAGTGGACATGAAAGAAAATACAGATGATATTATTTTGTATTGTTTCACAGAAACAGATAATGCAGTACTTTTGATAATTTTGCAATAAGTACTTTTCAATTGTAAATGAAAAATTTACATTTTGAATACTAAAAAACAACTAACGAGACGAGTGACGAGATTAGATGCCACTGAAAAAGGAGGGGTGTAATCACCCCAGGGGGCTGAAGGAAAACCCCATTTAGTTAGAAAAAAACATCAGAAAGATATAAAGGGTACAAATTCAAAATGACTGCAGAAATGTTTCAGAATGTACGTCATGAAATGAACTACCGCCTAGATGCTGTCCGTGTAACCAAGAGAAGTCACATAAAAAAATCTGTGAGACACAATTTTGAAGTTCCTTCTACTCACTGTCTAAATTTATCAATAAATTCTTGCTCATTAAATAGTTACGCCGTTTGAATTGCTGTATTTGTTTTGAATTACGCAGTATAATAAATGAAAGAAATTACATTGGATTCTTCTTGAAATAATTGCATTAAGAACTTTGAGTTCAAAACAGAAAGAAAAAAGTTTTTCTGAGAAAACAACTATTTTCTCTTTAATTATCATTACTAGGTCTATTAATAAAATATTATTAGAAAATATACCAAAACACCAAACAAACTAATATGAAATCACAAATTTTACACATTTTTAATAAATAACTTTTTATGAAAGTTAGTCATACAGGAGTAATACAAACTTCATGCATCATGATCTATGCATCTATGTTCTTCAATAGATAACAAAAAAGAATGTAATACTTAATAACGAAGTGATCAAAGGAACAAATTTATCACATTGCATTTTGTATGAACTAAATATATTGAGAATAGGGCATACTAACACTCATTGAATTTAAACTGAAAAAAAAATAAAAATAAAAATTTTAATTTTTAGAAAAGAATATTTTTTTAGACAAATTTCAACCTTTACTAGATAATAACACCCCGATTTATAAATAGTGATATAAATTATCAGTTTTTTTTCATGCAATCACTACAAACTTGCTTTGTGTTAAACAAAATATACACATGTAGTCTATCCATTATAACCAGATTTATGACTTATATATGTTTAGTATTATTACTATATGTTTTTTAAATAATAACATAAATTGCATGCTTTTCTTCATGAAATCACAACATATTTGTGTTTTGGTTAAACAAAATATACTTATGGAGTCTATCCATTATAACAAGATTTACTTTGATCTATGACTTAGCATGTGTCGTTTTAAATGGCCCAACTGGGTAAATTTTTTACCACACATCTTGCAGTGGAAAGGCTTCTCTCCCGTGTGAATTCGAACATGCATCCTCATTCCAAAGAGATCAAAACTGGAGTGTTTGCAAAAGAGGCAACGATAGAGTTTACGAGAATGATTCTGGAAGAAGACATTGGTACACATAAATGTATTCTGGTCCAACGTCACACTGCCACCTACAGATGACATAAATGGGATTAACAAATGAACAATAAAAATATTATATTATGATCAAATGATAAATAAATATTTATATTTTTTAATAGATAAAACATTTAAATCTCCTCTTTAAGAAACATGATCAATATTAAGTTCTCAACTATTTTGAAATAGTACTTTGAGTTTACTTTTATCAATACACATGAAGGAAACATGGCACTTACATTTTTATTTCTGGAGGAGGTAGGTATTTTAGTTATGCCACACTAGAGCTGCCCAATGGGAAATTGGCGACGATCACAATATTGATCCTCTAGAGAAGGGATGGCCCGACTAGTTGTGCGCAACTCGAGCCTTTTATGGTAGAAGAGTTTAAAGAGGATCAATATCGCGCACCCTCAATCTCTACGCAGGCTGATTAGAGTGGTCACCCACCCACTTACTGATGCTTGACTTTTATGTTCTACTGGGAACCGTGGGCCAGAAAAGCCTTTTTGGCAGGGCGCTGTGCGAGAACGGGAGTTCGAATACAGCTGGCCGAAGACTCCCCGTGTAGTAAATGGTGAAGGTTAAATCTGTCGGCTCACCTCATCTTCCTATAACAAACAGTACCTCTGGGGATACTGAAATGGAGATTGATAATTCTTTGGTTCAGGTCAAAATTATGATCTGAGGGTGCATGAATCAGTTCACCCTGTAAATGGGTGTGGCAGATGTCAAATTCTCTGACAAAGATGGCGCCACTGGAAAACACCAACAACCACACCTGTTCTGTTTTAAAAGCTTCATAAATTTTTTAAAATTTACTTTATAAAGACTAATATACACAAATTGTTCATAAGAAGTTAAATGAAATATTGAAACAAAAATCAAAACAATAGAGAAAGAACACTATTCAAAAATTTGGCATGTTCCAATCAATCTTACATAAAAATACTGTTTTGAAATTTAAAAAAAATCAAACTAAAGTGTCAAGTGAATAGTTGAAAAAATATTAAAAAGAAATTAGAAACATAAAAACGAAAGTATTTATTTTGGAAGATTGCTAATTTTTAAGTAAATCCTTCCTGTATTCTTAATATATTTTTTTCGGTCAGTTTATCTGTTAAAATGTCTTTTTCTTAAAGAAATAAAATTATATAGACTCTTTAAAGTGTATGAAGAAAAATAGACTCTGGACTTTTACCAACTAGCAAACTCTGGATATAACCGTAAAACTTTAAATCTTCGAAGATACAAACCTCTGTATTTTAGTCAAAATTTAAGAGTATAACTCTATTAAGCTATGTTACTTTAATTGACATTATTTAAGGAAACATAAAAATAAGTTTATTTTCTTCTTATTATTATTCACATTTTATTAGTTAAATGATTAGCTACAAATAATTATTTGTTCAGTCACTTAGGAATAAAAATAAAAAAGTTTAAAGGTTATATAGTAATTATTATTATTTAACCGCTTCCCTTCGCAATTTTTTTGGAAAAAAAAAAAAAAAGGCAAAACATCAGCATATTTTTTTACTTCATTAGTAAATACAACAAACTAAAGCAAAACATAATACACAAGTTCTGAACTGAAATTTTAATTCTTTTTATGTGTAAAAAATATTTAATTTACCACGAGTTTACTATCCAAAATTATCTCGGGCAAACGAAAAAAGTTAAATATTAGTCTTTGTATAGGTTCACATCTACATAATCTGAAAAATCATCCGCATTACTTTTACTTTTGCCCACCAGCACCATTCTTTAACTCCTTTTTTTTTATGTAAATTCATCAGTCATCGTATTTACAATAGTACAAAACACGTCTGCAGTCCCACAAATAGCAAAACTCCCAAACAAATATTGGCTAATTTCCAATCACAGCAGATTATTTTTTGTTTTGCTTCTGGCCGAATAAAAACGTGATAAAACAAAACGTATTGACGAATTCTGCTATGCCCAAGTTTATTCGGGATAATAAATATATTTGCACAATATACATACCCGAGTTAACTCGGGATAATCAGGGAAGAGGTTAAACAATAATAATTTTAAATCAAAGATTCAAAACAACAGCAATGGACTCTTTTTTTTTTACACCATATTACACACAGTCGTTTTGTTTGTGACTTAACATGTGTCTCTTTAAATGGCCCAGCTGATTGAACTTTCTACTACAAGTACCACAGGTGTAAGGTTTTTCACCAGTGTGTATCCTTACGTGCATCTTCATTCCACAAGAATTAACACTTTTATGGTTACAATAGAGGCAGTAATAGAGCTTACGAATCTTGTTGCCTAAAACTGTATCAGAACATACGTATGCACTTAAATGAGAACTGCTGCCACCACCTGTAAAAATAAGCATGGAATAAAGTGATTTTAAATGCAGAAGTTATGATTTTACAAATAAAAAGTTTTGAGATTAATCATAAATATATTCATCTTTACAGTTTGAAAACATTTAAATACATAAAAACTCTGAAAATCAATGTTTAACTTTATAAATTTTCGATAGCATAGAAAAACTCTTACAAAATAACAAAGAACATGAAAGATTAAAAAATAATACATTCATACATTAGGAAGTTTTAAGTTCACAGAATGGCAAAATTAAATGTTAAATAAGAAACTCCTATATGTAGTCATGTGTTTAGTAACTAATTATTTGTATAAATATTATAGTATATATCCATCTACTAATACGCATAATTAGAAAATATATGATGTTCTTTAGCATTGTGGGGCAAATTTTGTCAAAATTTGAAGTGCTGTGTTGTATTGTTGCTGGGAATGAGACTTGGGTTTGTCACGATAATCTGGAGTCTAAGCAGCAATTCTCATCAGCAGTATTAAAGAATAATAAAGCGCTAGTAATTTTTCAGACAGAGATTATTTTTTAAAAATTCTGTATGTACCAATAAGTTAATTCAAAAATCTGCAAAATGTATTAGAATTAAATACGGAAATAAAAATGAACTTTTGTCCTCTCCTTCTGCTAACTTAAAACTCTTTCTTTGTAAATATGTAACTCAATACATAAATATTTAAAAAACAACATAATCATGAAAATATCATAATCAGTTTCACAGGTTCATTGAATAATCCACCTAGCAATCTGCCATTCAAAGTACCAGCAGTTAGAATAAAATTTAGACTGTGGTAAATTATTCTACTGGTTAATGATTTTGAACAGTTAGAATGAAAGAAATTTCAGTTTTATCAACTTTTAACGATTGAGAGATGAGGTGCAGTAACATTATTTTCAAGAAAAATAATACAGACAAATAATAAAAATAATTTATTTAAAGCTCATAAATTACATAATTGTTTAATTTTGCTACAGAAAATATGAATTAACATTTGGTGTAATTTTATAAAAAAGGTTTTTGACAAATGAAAAGTGATTGTACTACATTGACATTATTGAAATTGATAGAAAATATCACTATTTTTGAAAAAATTATAACATTAATCCATTAATTAGAAGGTTACAATTTTTAAAAATATTTTGTACATTACATTAATGTCAAATGTCATGAAATAAACTAAAAAGTTGTTAAAAACACTTTAAATGAAATTTTTTTGTAACTGGAAAATTTGCGAAAATCAGAAATGCAAAGCAGGAGAAAGAATATACTAAAGAGTTATTAAAAATTTTTTAATTTATAAGATACTTTAAAAAAACAAAGTTTTACTAAATGCAAACAAATACACTTTTCCTCCTGTCACACCAAATAAAAAAAATACAACATATCTAACTTAATAAAAAAAAATGAAAATTTTTAATAGGGAGAATCTAAAAAATGGAAACTAATCATAACAGCATACAAATTACAGTATATAAAAATAACTATTCAATAAAAAAAAATTTTTATGTTAATACTTAGAAAAATGTTAAGAGTTTAAAAAATATTTCAGAAGATCAGAAACAAATAATCATGATAAGATCGAATTTTTGAGAGCAGAACCTAACCAGAAATCACAATTAAAAATTATTTCCCAACTCGTAGTTGAAAAAACGCCTATATATAATATTTATGTTTTAGATGATTTGTTCAATAAATTAAAACTAAAGTATTTCAAATTTATGTCAGTTTGATAGATAGGTTTAAATAACATAATAAGAAAAATTCAAATTTTTTTACAGTGAACATCATAATATAGTATAAATTAGATAGCAAGCATAAAATCATATAATTTATAAATAAAAGGGATGGTTAATATGACAAAATTAATATGAAATGATATGATATGGAATACTATAATATTAGTTATTGATATTTCATATTTCCCAATACAAATTGGTAATATGATATATAGTCTATTGAGTGAAGTTACTTAAGTAAGTTACTGAAGTAACTGATTATTACTCACACAAACTAGTTAGTTCTTATTTACAATAACTGTTTGAAAAGATTAATTTCAAAAGAAGTTTAATTAATTTGTTACATTAAATAGAACTGTTTATCATGCATAGTTAATGTAATCAGGGGTGATTGTGACACAAAGTGAAAAACCCTGAAAATTCAATGTGCAAAAAATCTACATATATCAACCAAAGATGTTTCCTAGTTAACATAGTTTTAAGAATTAGCATTTATAATTAAAATTAGGTAACAATGTATGATATCGCACTTTTATAGTAACTAATTCAAAAAAATACTTACTTCTTACAAAACAACTTTGGTTAGTTTGAATAAAAATTCATTGTGCTCAGAAGGGTTTATTCAGAGCAACAGTTATTCACTCAAGCTAATAGGCCATTATTCTCGATAACTCTTTTTGAAGATTTTTGTTCTCTTAAAAAAAGGTTTTTTTACCAAAATTGTTAATTAGAAGTAATAAATATTTATTGCAACAAATTTAATAAAGCTAACAATTAAACCAATGATTTTTGTTAGTACGAGTATTTAAATCATAGCTGCCAACACGGAAAAGAAACAAATCCAGTAGATTTTATGAAATAATATAAATTCCAGAATAATTTTTGCATAATGTACTAAATATTTTACACATAGGGAATCTAAGGGACTTTTATAGTCAACAAAATAGAAAAACTGCAATATTTTACAGCTATGATAGACATATTTGAAATGTTATGCATTATGTTTACTCATAATTTCGAATATAAATTTGCATTTAATTCATCAAAAATAATTAAAATTTTTTTTCATTAATTTAAAAAGAGAGTTCAGAATAAAAAATAAACTAAACATTTTAGAACAAAAAAAGTTCTGAACTGATTTCTATAAATGAGGTTCACTTCATTATGTATCTGTAATACTTATTTAAATATTCAATCAATTAATGTACAAAAATTCTATTTCAATAGGGATTTTTTTAAGGAGACTTACTAAATTTTAGGGAATTTTCTAAAATTTGCAAAAACCAGTAGAAACTGGCAAAATTGTGTCATCTACTGGAAAATCCAGTAGAGTTGGCAGCTATGTTAATTATATGCAGAAAGATTTATTAATAGTAAGAGATATACCAAAAGTAAAATCAAAGCATCTTACAGTCTTTATAATAAAAGAGCTTTTTTATAAATGTCTTAAACAATGTACTCTTAAGTGACTAATTTGAGTGAATCTTCTGCCGCAGACATTGCAAACATGAGGTCGCTCACCCGTATGGACATAAATGTGCTTTTTCATATTTGTATTGTTGTGACATGAATAAGAGCACAAAGTGCATTTGTAACTTTTGTAGACTTTGTTGCCGAGAACCTGCCTTGTTGAGTAGTAGAGAGACTGCTGAGATGAAACAGAATCTAATAAAAAGAAGAAAATTTAAACACCATGTGCTAATGAAATGTTCTTAAAAGATTTAAATTAGCATGCGTCAATATTTTTTTTCTTTAACTGAGTAATATTTTGCTTATTTTTTTCTTGAAACAAAGTGCTTAAAATTAATTTTTGGTAAACAGGAACTGTGCATGATCTTTTCTGAAAGTTCTTCTTATGTGATGCTGAACAAAGTTATCTATTTCACACACTGCATTCAAATTATATTTAGATTACGTACATTAATGGCAAAGGAGCTGAGCAAAATCAAGGTAAATGCTCGTAATGAGTATCTTAAAAGAAACAAACACTAAGATAAATAAATGATTTTGCATAAAAAAAATAAAAAGAGAAAAAAAACAGACAAAAATTGTAAAAAAAAAAGGGGGGGGGGGAATCACAAATACATTTTTGGATCATTATTTGCATAAAGAAAAAGATAATATTTTGTTCAGGAGTAATGCAATTGTCTAATACTTAGCATAGTATGCAAACACAGAAACTACTTTGCTCTTATGCATACTACATAATGGATTCAAGAATTCAAAATTATACGAATGTAGCTTGAATACATAATTTTTTTTTAAAGAATATAGAAAACAAAGAGAATAATTATTTAAATTAAAGGAAAAATTATGATAATTGGTCTTGACTGTTCCCTCAACAACTTAAATTTTTTTTATGCACTATAAACCTATTTCCAGTTTCAATTTAAATATTAAGGATAGTTTGGAAAGATGAACTTAGAAAAACATTTACAGTTTCAAGTTTTTCTTTCTTTTTAAATTAAAAAAAAAGCTTCGTTGCAGAGGAGACAGCCAGAACCAATTATTCCGATTTTGCCATTAGGTACTAACCATCCACATTTAATGTCTAAACTTAAAAGCTAGATTAAAAGCTCTAGAATTTAACAATTTAAAAGTCAATGAAATATTGAAGCAAATTTGTTTTTGGTCATAACTTAAACGGAAATGGAAAAAGAAATAAATTTTTATAATTTTACTTAAGAAAAACTATTAAAAATGACATATTACTCCATGTGCATTGGAAATAAATAAACAGTAAAATGCCAAAGGAATTTTCATACATCGTGAATGTTAAAATGCTTTATTCAAATTCAGAAAAATTTAAGAAACCAGGAAATTTATATTCCTAAATAGCAAAACCGTAGCAATCCTTTCAATTTAGAAAATTTTAGTGATTATGTAAATATAAACAGTACTAAGAATGGCATAATATAAAACATTATTGAAAAACATATAAAAACAGTTATATTAACAACAAAATAGATTTGAAGCTTAGAAGATAAAATTAAGATAAATTAAGAAAAGCTTTGATGAGGAAAAAAATTTGAGGATTATTTATACTAATTGTCATAAAGATTTATTTAAAAATACCATTAATCATTTAAAGCAATAAATTGCACAGCTCTTTAAAAATGGTTCATTAATTTAAAATCATTTTTTTACATCAACTGGCAAGAGAAATTAAATTCTATATAACTATTGAGTTGCAGTAAGATTCTCACCGAACCCAGTTCAGTATACGCTCAGGCAGACCTGCAAGTGTTTCAATGAATTGTGAAAACGTTGAATAGAACAATGTGAAAAGCACGCTTTTGCATAATACGTGGCAGAAATTGTCACAGCAAAGAAAAAAATCTAATTTTTAAAAAGGGAAAATTAAGCTCTTTTTAAAAAAACACAATAAAAAAAGCACCTTTAAGGGCTTTTAAAAAACGAAAATAAGAACCTTTAAGCACTTTTTAAAAATGCCATGCACCATGTTGTATGGAAAAACTAAAAATTCCCTGTATTTTAGGTGATTTTTAAATTCTCTGTATTTTTCAGATTCTCTCTATAGAGTGGCCACCCTGTACAAATTATTATCATGTCATGCTACTATTATAATAATTTAGCCAGCATTCTATCTTAGGCATGATCCCATGATAATGCCAAGTTTCTAGAGAGGGTCTCTACCTTGGAATTATGCTCAACAATCAGAAGCAATTTTACGAAAACAAAAATTTACTTAACATACAAATAACTTTATTATAAAGACATAATAAAAAAAAAACACAGTTCTTTTAGTAAAATAAATCAAGGTCTTAGATGCACTAAAGCGTGACGCTTTAAGTGGTTACTTTGATTGAAAGTTTTGTTACACAGATTGCATATGTAGGGTCTTTCTCCTGTGTGAACAATAACATGTCTTTTCATATTACCAATATTCACACAAGTATATGAGCACAGTACACATTTGTATGAGTTGCATACTTTGTTGCAATAAGTTGATTTCATTGGGTAGAACAATGCCTGATCATTATAAAGTACACCTAAGAAAGAAAACCAACAACATTAGAACACAATTTGCTTTCTAATCATAATGTTAAGCTTAACAGGATACAAACATAACACTATGTAAATTTATTTTCTATTAGAACATGCAATTTGTTAATGCAATTTCTAAAAATTGAATATTTATCTTATAAATATATTGTAACAAAAAGTTTTTAAATTGAAAATTTAATACACAATGAAAATTATATGAAAAATAAATATTTTTTTTCTTCTAACCCTAGGCACAGAACTTCATGTTGTTCACATCAGAAGATAACAGAAATATTGTTCATTTAATCATCATCAGTGATCCTAAATCATGAAGGCAAGTAACATTACCCATGTAAGGATGTGACCCATTCACAGGGTGAGCCACATTCACACAACACACACAGAAAAATATCTATGTCCTACGAGGGACACAAACCGCAACCATCATTAGATTCGCAGTCAGGCATGCTGACCGCTTGGCTCGCATGAAAATAAATAAGTAAAATATTCAATTAAATGCGCAAATAACCATAAAAAATTGTAAATTTAATTTTTGTATGTACAGTCAGACATGTTTATCTCGAATCTTACGGGAAAAGCAAAAAATTTGAGATAAAGATGTTTCGAGTTATACAGGAATTTTAAAAAATTAAATTTAATTAAGGAATTCGATTAAAAGTGCTTTAATTGTTTTGAGTAGAAAAATATAGGCATTTCTGTAAATTAACTATACCACATATATCTATTTACATAAAAAATTTTAAATGTAACACTGAAAATAATCTTTTTAAAGATTTTTGACGTCTAACCTTTTTCGTTTGTTATATTGTTTGGGCATTTGTGATCTATTAGAAATTCGAGAAACAGAGGTTTTGAAAGAAAAAAATCTCGAGATAGACATGGAAAATACATTGATTTTAAATAGTAAATGTAAGGAATTTTGAGATATAGAGGTTTTCGATAAAGAGATTTAACTGTATTTTGATCCAGTTACCGAGAGGTTGAGAAATGATCAGGGTTCTCACTCAATTTCAGAAAAAAAAATTCCCTGACTTTTCCAGGTAAATTTAGATAAAAGTTGAGACTACATATTCATCAGAAAACTTTAATTATATAATTTATAATGTGAAATATTAGATTTGATGCGCAAAAAAATATTATTAAATGAGGAAAGGAACATTTCAGTTTGACTAAAATGTGAAATTTTTACAGTAAATAATTGTAATAGATGTTAGAATTATTTAACTCAAATCTCAATAACTGATTATTGTTACTGAAAATTTTAAGACTGGTTATTTTCCAGGTATGATATAGGAGAATATTCCAGGTTTTTGTATAAAAATTGTAACTTTCCCTAATTTTTGAAGTTAAAATAAAACTCCTTGTCAATTCCAGATTTTCACTGTTCTCTCTGACAGATGTTCATAAACTATGCTTGAAATTAAGCCTGAGATTATCACTAAAACTCAGTAAGCCATCAGTATTTTTAAATAGCTTTGCCACATAATTTTAATCTTGGCCAGATGCCATAATCAATCTGCGAATTAGTACTTTCTCCTCCTTACTTTCAGTCATAGAAAATTTGACTTACATATCGCATACATACACACAAGATCTTTAGTAAGATTCAAAAATATCGCTTCCAGTTGGCAACAGAGGTACTTTAAAATCAACTGCACCAATGCAACCCAATCGGGTAACATACATTTTTAAATATGACTGGGAAAAATAAAAGGAAACTTAATATTAATAATAAGATACAGCAAAATTTATTAGTCATTGATAATAAGACATAATATTCAATTAAACAACATAAAAAAATGCATGAAGCAGTCAGCTTTTACAAGACTGGAATAAACGTAGTTGCCTCTATTGTTGAGAAAAACTGATGAAAAAGAAAGACAAAAAAACTTTTTCAAAATTTTTAGTACTTTCATTAAAACAGGAAATTAATGCACAAAAATAAAAAAAATCTATAAATACATTTCATGTGTAATGACATCAAGTGCGCACATATATTAAGCAAAGTATGGAATTTACAGATAATGAGTTGGTAAAAGTAGAACTAAAGTTTACTTAACATTAAATATATATTTAACAAGAGTTTGTATCTCATTTACAAGGAAACAGTTTGCGGTGTTTAGGGGAAATTTTGCCAAAAAATCTACTGCTCTGGAAATTATCGAATTTCTGTAATTTTTTAGGCAACTAAGAAATGTTTGATAAAATCCTATTTTTTTCTGATGATACCTTATCCCTCTCTAGTTATAAATCAATGACTAGTATGGGGTGAAATTTCCCCCAAACATGAAAAATTTATATTTAATTTTAAAAAACACAAAATTTATGTTTTAGTTTATCAATCGTTTTTTATTACATTAAAAATTTTACTAAAAAAATGAGCAATGAAAAAAGAGTACTTCCATATTTATTTCTCCATATCTAAATTACAAATAAAATTAAAAGGAGAAAAATAGAAATACAAAATTTTCATTACATTAGCTAGCTACAAGAACAGAAACTACTGCAGTCACAATTTTGTTTCATAGCGTAGTGTTCTACCTTCTTAAAAAAAAGTAGCGTATGGGCTGGAGTTGTTTAGTTAAAAAAAAAACAAAAAAAACCTGTAATTTGTAGCGATTCGTGACAAGTACTTTTAACGCTAGTTAAGTAAAAAAAACAATGCTAAAAGACAATTATTTTAATCTGATTGATGCTAATCTTCAAGACCATCAGCGGCAAAATGAGAAGGACCTTGTCCCTAAGCGTTTCAGAAGAAGCATCACAATAGTTTTTAAATAAAAAAGAGAGACAACAGACAGTTCAAAAAGTTTCAGTTCTCTTTTGCTCATTGCAAACTTTTAAAATTTCTTTGGCCAAACTTCTAAAAGATGTAAATCAAGCAATTTTTAATGAAGCTATCTACTTAATATTCTTATAAATTTTTTTTCTAAGATTTTATGGTAATTAGTCTTATTTACTCAAATGAAAACATTTGATTTCACCAATATAGTCTGCAGCTCTTTCCCTTTATAATTTTTTGTGTTTTTTTTCCTTCATACATAGCACTATAATAACCATAAAAATAATTAATAACCATAGAAAATTTTATTAAACTTGGATTTTTTTTAATGAAAATGTCAACATATTCCAGCTTTTTAGTATTGAGCATAGATTTTTAAAGGTCTTGTGTACAAATATTACACAGTACAATGTACAGCGAAATTGCATAAGCAAAAGAGAGTATTTAAAAAAATATTTATTTTGTGATTAAATTTTAGATTTTTATTTGAAAAGCGATTTTGTGATTAAACATTTGATCATCTATTGACTTAACAGTTTTGTAACCAAATGCTTTTTTTTATTTATTAAAATCTAGTTTTTTTTTTAAAAATTTGTGTTTGTAGCTAAATATTTAGGTAAGTATGTGATTTGCATTAATAATCTTTTAATAAGAATGTAATTAACATAAGTAAATAGTTCTAATAAAAATACTCTAACTTTTAATTCAACAAATGGAAAGAAAAAAATTTCTCCCTGAAATTCCTGGCTAACACAAATTTTGACTAATTCAAAAGGAGCCCAATGTCATAATGATTTTATTTACACTGTGTTTTCAATAATTACACCTATACTCAAAATTTCTATATAAACAAGCTTTATCATGTGAAGACAAAAGTAAACTTATTATTTTTGTTACAAATTTTTTCAGAGGAAGCACAGACACAAGCTGCCTGAAATAGAAAGAATAATTAAATAGTTAAAAAATTATTCAAAATAATAAATTAGCATATAAACATGAACAGATCTTTTAGCATATAAACATCAACTTAATTTTTCCCAATTAAATAAGCCAATTCATTTCTTTAAACTTCTTTTATGAATTTTTCTTTTAATTTTTAATATTTTTTGATTTTGAACATGAGTGTAAATTCCAGAAAAATTCTTCTTTAAAAAGTAGTAGTTAATTATTTAAAAGTAGTTTGTAATCACAAACAAGTAGATGTAGCTGCAGTTAAAAACATTTTTAGTTAAGTAGTTGTAGTTAACTACAAAAATTAACCATTGGATTTGAAACATTATTTCTCTAATGCATAATTAAATAAAAAATAAAAACTCACCTTTAGAAATAATAAAATAACTGTTTTTGTATAAATGCTTTAGAAATGTTATTTTAAATCTGCAGGAATATTTTCCAAGAGATTCTATATTTGCAAGGTTTCCACATTTATTGCACTACAGTATATTCCATATTTATGTATTTTAATTGAGTGTAACAAAACAAAGAAAAGAACCCCGACAATTTATATGAATTTAGGACAAGAGATGTACATCTCAAAATTTTTCACAGAATGAAAGATGATTACAAGATTTATACAGAACTCAATTTTGAAAAGTTCTGGAAAATAAGGATCATCACAGCCCCCAGGAAAAAGTTAAAAGTATTTAATAATATTCAAATACCAATTAAAAAGCTGTGCAATAAAATATAAAAGTTATACTATTTAAAATTATATGCCAAAAGAAATTAGTTTACTGAATTTTTTTTTTAGTTGAAAACTGCAATATTTAAAAATTTGAAATAATATAATGTTTTACATTTGCAGGGTTGCCACTCAAATCTGGAAGAAAAAAAATTCGCTGTACATATTATACACAATATATTAAGAGGAAACAACAATTACTGTGCTCTTGTACCAGCCATATTGAGCTAACTATACTAATTTCAATTGAGGGAACAGCTTAGAGGAAAAAAGAAACAGCTGAACATACTTAAATATTGCTATAATAAATAAAATAGTTTAGTATACCTGAAATATCATCCTTAAATATCCCATAGATTACACTTTACGTGGTCAAAATTTTTTAAAAGACAAAAATAAAAAACAAAATTACCTGTATTTTCCCAGTTTGTAAAGAAAAAATAAAAATTCCCAGCATTTTCTCTGTAATTTCAGGTAATTTTTAAAATTCCTGTATTTTCCAGGTTTTTCACAGTGGAGTGGCAACCCTGATTTGCTGTATAAAACACTAGAAAAATGTAAAAACCTATAAACTTAATTTTCTTTGCAATGAGTGATAACAATGCTCTCCAATATTAGAAAAAATGCACAATTGTTTTCAAGAGAAGGTTAAAAAGGCAATAAAAGCATACATATAGAAAAAAATGAGAAGTTACATACCTGCCAACTTTTAATTCTTTCCAGGATGATTTTTCTCAGTGGTAGTAAAATGCAATTTAAATTACAATTGTAGGCAGAAACATACGCTGTATTTTGAAAAAGCTTATGCCGACTATCATGGCAGTATTACATATTGATATCTATACTTAATTTGTTAAAAAATAGTGGTGGTCAAAAAGATCATAAATTAAGTTTATTAATGCAAGGAATATATAGAAAACATACATTTTACTACCACTTTAAATATAGAAATGAAATTTTACGCCAAATGTGTAAAAGTTAGCAGGTATCAAGTTATGCAAAATACAGATTTTTCATTTTAGCAAGATTTCCTAACAGTTCACAAAAGATTATTTTTTCTGTGCCCATAAAGATGAACCTTTAAATTACTTTTCTGTACAAATCCTTTCCCACAAATGTGACATATATGAGGTCGTTCACCAGTATGTGTCAAGATGTGCTTCTTCATATCAGTTCTACCGTGGCAAGAATAACTGCACATGGAACATTGATACATCACATAGACCTTGTTGTCAATTTTAGCTTTGGTTGAAGTAAAGTATTCTTTATGAGTTTCTGATAAAAGAAAGAAAAGCTATAAGAATCTAAGTAAAACTTAAATATTCCAAAAATTAAAAAACAGAATTCAATTAAAAATACATTAAATCATCAGGAATTTTAATCTAGTTCATCTATAGGAAAAGAGAGTTAAATTAAGAGGGAAAACACTGTTAAAAAATCTTTTTTAAGATTCAATATTCCTTCCTTCCTCATTGGCTCGACAGCCCAGGATGGGCCTTGGCCTTCTCCAGTAGTTTTTTCCAAGCTGTCCTTCCTTTGGCAATGGACTTCCAATTCTTTATTTTTAATATAGATAGATCTTTCTCCAGGGTATCTAGCCATCTGAGACTTGGCCTGCCCCTTCTACGTGTTCCTGTCGGCCGGGCATCAAAAACCTTTTAACAATACGGTCTTCTTCCATTCTTACTAAGTGGCCTGCCCATTTTATAAGATTCAATATTACAAATCAATTTAATTGCAACACTAAAACAAAATGACACAGAAATGACCTTGTTATTTAAAAAAAAATAATAAATACTATTGAAAGTCACTCTTAAATTATTAAAAAAAAGTAGGTACATATAATTTTCTGGAAATTTCAAAAATTTTCCTAGTATTTCTTTAATATTTCCTATGAAGAAAGGTATAAAAAGTTGAAGGATTGAAAAAAAAAAAGGAAATTTCGTAAAATAAATTGGTTTATAATAAGAAAGCAACACATGTAAACTTGAATAAATATATCTTAATTGAATATGGGTGAGAATTAAGCCTGGCAGCAAACTAGTAACTACATACGAAAAGATTGAAGTCACTAAATTTAAAAAAAGTAGTAGTTAACTACATTTGTAATAAAGTAGTAGCTAACTACAAAATGTTTTTTTAACCACTGGATAAGCTAGTACAGTGCTTTAATCACAAAAACAGGAGATAAAAGTAATATCCGCCAACTGCAATTTTTTATTAGTAAAAATGTTATCAAAATATTAAACACTTATTGAAGTATAAAAAAAATATACTATATATTTGTAAAATAAGGTAGAAAGCGTTACAACTTGTTAATAGTGCTATGATAACGAACTTGAAATAGTTACATCGTAAAAAATAACGTAATAAATTCGGATAAGTTTATTCTGGGACCAAAATGTGGAAAGTTATAAGCAACTTTGGGCCAAAGTGAGACAATAACTTTTTAAATTTTGTGGTTTAACATATTTATAAAAGGAAACTGGAAAATCAATGTTTGTGTAATAAACAGAAAAAAAAAAAGGATTCTTTTCTCCTGTAAATTGCATAATTTAAGAAAGAATTTGGGTTCCGCAGAGAAGAGAACGGGATGATTTCCGTATCGTGATCTACGC